AAAATGAATATTACTTTGCATGATAGATAGGCAACATGCGAAAAGAAGAAAAAGACATGAGAAAAGCAATGCTTTACAAACCTTAAGATGTAATAAAAAATGTGATATTTTGCATGTGAAAGCATTGTAATGTTTACTGATAATCTGCCAAATTTTGTTAACATCTGCTTACTGATTGAAAAGTTATAGCATGAAAACTATAACAAGCACAAGATGGTTATGAGGTCGGTTCCAGGGACCGAGCCCATGCCGAAAGAGTTAAGAGAATCTTTTTCTTAATCTCCAGTCAAACTGATGAGTTTTGGTATTAAAGAAAAGGCCTCTTGGGTAGTGACTTTTGGGGGAAAAAAAGATTGTTCTGAAATGCTATTTGTACACAGACTCCAATTTTGAATCCCAAATTGTACTATGTATTTAAGTTCTCCAGTATATTTAAAGGTACGGATACAAGGTTCTTAAAGTTATTGAATATTTTGAGATCTTTATCAGCACCACCTACCAATCCTTAACTATGTAAAAACTGTGACATCAGAAGGAAATATTAAATTGAAAAGGTACGTGTCAACACAACACAAAATATGTTGAACCTTCAATATTTTTCTCATTTTTGAGCTTGTTAATTTTGATGCAAGTGAATATTTTGAATTATTCTAGTTTTGACTGAGGTGTAAAAATATATAACCAATATCTTGTGTGAATACAAGTTTCATTTCTACTCGTTAGTTAATTGGCACTTTTGACCTTTGTTATTAACTGTTATGTTAGTCAACAACTGTTGATGTAAGATTTCTGAAACACTTACACGAATAAGAAATGAACCAATGCAGTATACTACATGAGTTTTAACACTGATTTATATTATCTTGAGTGACAGGAGTTAAAAGTAAAAATTATAGATCAATGGAAGTATTTTAGAAGAATATCGACTGATTATTGTGTAATGTTTTGTTAAGGGTATTCGATATGTGTGTCCAACTAATTTCTTTGTGAGATTATTCAAGTAAAAATAAGTACAATTTGTTTTTTAAGTACCAAAATGGTTCAGTTAGAAGATGTGTAGGTAGTTTAATGGAGATCTAACAATATATATAATTGATATATGGACCAATTTTATTAAAAAAGAATGGCTGTTGTATCATATTAAGTGTTTTTCTCAAAGGAAAAATAACTTGTTTTAAACTGCTGAGAGAATTGCTTATACACTCTTGACAACACTCTACGTTCAGCATATTGCATTTTCATTAATGACAAATTTTCAATGTTACATTTCTATGTAACGTATAACTTCCATGCATGATTATTTCTTTCTTTTTTTTTTCAAAACAAGGTAATTAATTTTGTGGAAACTTTTATCTTTAGGCATATGCTGTGTTGTATAAATTTCTGAATTACAGAAAGAAAAATAAAGACAGGCTTACAACTGCTAGGATGGCACATGTAAAATCTTATTAAAGTCATGATTTTGAAAGTCTTGATATTTTGATGGCTATGAGTTCTCATTCTCGAGAGACAATCTAATTTTGAAAGCAGTGAGGTTTTATTTGCTATTGGGATACTATATATATAACGAAACCTAAAAATTTATATTCTGATTGAATGGAATGGCAAATCATTTAAGCTTTCAAGAGATCTCTTAAACTGGCTGTTAATGAGTAGTCACAATGAAGTAATGTACAGGATTTTTGTTTATTTATTATATTAACCCAGATGAAGCCACAAAGGCAAAACGTTGGTTAAAATGAAAAAAATTCTTTTATTTCTACCTGGAGTATAAAGGTCGTTTTTTTCTAAACTTTTTAATAAAATGAATGGAATGTAGTTTTCCTTTAGGAGTGAAGGTAACATCAGTTTACCAATAGGTCAGTGTTTGTAAAATTCACATCCTCCAAAATAAATACCTAGAAACATGCATTATTTGAAATTTGTTTAATGATGCTTAGTACTTGGACTTTCCCTGCTCTCTTACACTCATCAGCACAAGCTGTTAGTTGTTCTCCAGTCTTGCCTTTGTGGCATTTTATGCCCTCTTTAATAAAAGAAAAGACTCTCCAAGCTTGAATAATTTTTCATTATATGATTGTGTTTTTAGTTTTTGTCTTTCTTTCACACACAGCCTGAGAATATATTGCTTGTAGACAGTGCTGGCAAACATATCAAATTGATTGATTTTGGACTCTCAAGACACATCACTGCAGATTCAGAGATCAGAGAACTAATGGGGACACCAGAATTTGTTGGTAAACTTTTATTTTGTTTGTGTAATTAGTTAAAAAAGCACCAAACAGTATTATAAATTAAGGCACTAATTTTGCCATAAAAATATTTAAAACAACAAAAGACTCATTTTTTTATTATATAGTAATTTTAGAATAAAAACCAGAATAAGAAAACGTATAGTATTACAATTTATAGAAGACTTTCCACTGGAAATTTGTAAATTCCAAGCTTTTTATAACAGTTGTTAAAATATGAATCTATGAATATCATAATCATTTAAGAGAATCTATTAAACTGACCATTAATGAGTAGTTACAACAAAGTAATGTAGAGGATTTTCTTTATCTATTACTAATAAGAAGGCACTCAACTCACAATCTGCAGGTTCAAATCCCCATACCATCAACCATGCTTGCCCTTTAATCCATGAAAATGTTATAATGTGATGGTCAATCACACTAATCCTTGGTAAAAGAGTAGCCCAAGAGTTGATGGTGTTGACTAACTGCCTTCCTTCTAGTTTATCACTGCTAAATTAGTGACAGCTAGTGCACATAGTCATAATGTATCTTTGTGTGAAATTGAAAACAAACCTAACTAAAAAGAGGATTACAAAATAGTTACAAGTTTAATTTTTTATGGATTTAAACAAATCTGTGATGCTTTGGTTCTCTGTTTAATTATGTAGGGAAAATTAACATTTTAGCTAATTGTTTATCTTATTTTCACAGCTCCAGAAATTGTTAATTTTGAACCAATTACCTTAGCTACTGATATGTGGAGTATAGGTGTTATCACATATAATTTGTAAGTACATAAAATTGCTTTTATGGTAAAAAATAGAAACTAGTACTTTTAGGAAATTTAACACTGTAACCATTTGTTGTAGAAAACAAATAATAGCAACACACTTGTTACTGTGTTAAGTTGGTATATGTAATGGTATACAATAGAATAACAGTTATTGTGTTAAGCTGGTGCTTGTAATAGTAGATAGTAATAGCAAAACAATAAATATGTTGTTATAATTAATACTTGTATAAAGTAATAGCGAGACAGCTATTGTGATAAATTGCTCCATAAATGGTTGTGATTTTTTCTTTTTTTAGTACATGGTGTGATGTTCTTTATAGTTTATCACTAATGATTATATTGTAAATGGGAATTTTCAATACTAAAATGTTACGTGTTTGTGTAACATTTAACATAAGCTTTGACTTGATGTAAAAATGGATATCATTATTATGGAACAGAATTTGTACAATTTTGAATTTTATCGAGAATTAATTACTTCAGGTTAGGACTTTTTGTTTGTTCCAGATTAAGCGGTGCTTCACCATTCCTCGGAGATGACAAACAAGAAACTTTCAGCAACGTTAGTGCTGTGAATTACTATTTTGATGAAGATCATTTTTCACATGTCAGTGACCTTGCCAAAGATTTCATAGCCAAACTTCTAGTCAAAGATCCCAGGTTTATATATAAATATACAAATTATATGTATATTAATTTTTAATAACTTAAAGTTAAACTTTTAGAAGTTGTTCTCAATCTTTTGCTCTCAGAACTGTTAAATCATTACTGTTTAGTTTTACTTACAGTACATAAAGTTTTAACACCTAGTCTAAAGTGACTTGTAGATTCTTTAAGTTCAGTTGGACTATATGTGTAAGTTTGCTTGGAGCATACATGTAATATTACCTGGATACGTGTAAGTTTGCTTGGAGCATACATGTAATATTACCTGGATACATATATATACATACATACATACATTTAAAGTCATCACAAAAGTTTTTTAATATTTATCTCTATTGATCTTTATCAACAAATATGGAAGGTTAATTAAAATTGATACTGATGTTCAGTAATCGCAGTGCAACATAAAATTATATATTATATAATTATTTCAAGTTTTAACTACTGGTACTTGCATATTCAGTAATATGTATAATAAAGTGTAATGTACAGTTGTAATTATATTGTATGTTATCTGTCAAAATGTTCACAGTTGAATGCTATTCTTGTAGCAGGGCAAGACTATATGTCGTAAAATTAGGAGAAGGAACTTCTCAAGTATTTTTGTGATTTATGTCAGAATATGCTGTTGTTGTTTTTCAAACTACATGAAAAACAATCTCGTAAATAAAATAAAAACTATACACAGCTTCTCTTACTGGTATTCATTGAATTTCAAACTGTATATTACCAGTCTTAAAACTATGATGACAATTCTTGAACATAGTTTGGTCTCCAGGAACTAAAATCAAGAAATTTATGGGATAAAAACATCAATCGGATGTTTTGGAAATTCATTAAGTGGCACAAACAAAACGTCAGTTTTTCAGACTTTTTTTTTTAAATATGCTAGATAATTAATCTGTCCTATAGTTGGATGTTGTAAGATTTTATTAACACAGAACTTTGAACCAGGTCTATAACAAACAGGACAAACAAATTAAAGAAAATTTCTTTAAAAGATACCTGATTTAACTTTTTTAAACCCGTAATTTTTTGCCCATTCTGCCAAAATTACTTTCATGATTTCCTAGTAATTATTACCATATGTTATAAAACTTCAGTTTTCTTAATTTTGTGGATAATAACATGGTTTGGATTAGTTTCAGCCAAAGAGAGACAAATGTTATCGGATGCTGCAAGCATCCCCTCAGGTTTAGGGAGTTAATGCTGTAGTTAGTAAAATTACATGAGTGATTATATGTAGATAGGAAGATGGATATACTTACTTAATCCACTAAAGTCAGATATGATATACATTTGCCAAAAATATAAATAAAATGAATATACATTTCATATAGAAAAACATTATCACCTTGCTACTCTCATTGTATGATTTATACATGCATTGAAACAAACTTTAGTCTTGCACTTTGATCAGACTATAGCTAAATAAGAGAAACAATAGTAAAAGTATTGTTAAAGTCTTGAAATGTTAACAAATAAATGTTTTATAGTTAGTTTGCCTATATTTTGATTAACAGTAACTAAAGCCCTGGTTGCATCTTTTGAAATGTATTTGTCAGTTGCAGTTTTACCATGTGTACAAGATATAATTTTGTTAATGTCTAGGGTTAGTGAATTTATCCACACTTTCAACAGAGAGCAGCCTATATATCAATTTTAATGCATTCTTTCAAAACAAAATATCTTGAACTATCAAAGTTGAGATTATTAGCTAATATGTAGCCCACAATCATCAGGATATAACCATCTATCATGCAATCTTTAACATATTAATGTTTTACTAATAAATATTGTGTTCTAAATATTCAAAGAATGTTAAGGGAAATACTTAGACTGGGTTCTTATGCAACCTTTTCTCTTCAACTCTCGTGGAAGTTTTTGTACTTATTCAGTGAACTTTCATAAACATGTTGCATGAAAATCATCTTCCAATAGAACAGTATCCCAAGAAATTCTGTAAAGTTCATATTCTCTAGTCCTTTGAATCAGGTATATGCATGAACGTATTTAGACCTAATAAAGTAGTACTATCTATCTCTAAATAATGTTTTATTGTTTTATGATGGTCAACTGTAGATGTAAGGTAAGCAAGCATGATCATCTAAGTGTGATGTTAACAATAAACCTTCTATTTAGGAAGCGAATTACTGTGAATGAGTGTTTGTCGCATCCATGGATACAGGTAATTGTTCCTCTATATAACGAGTTTTTAACTTTTCAAATGTATAGAAAAATGTGATCTAATATACTAGGTAACCAAAAAGGAATGACTGATTTATCATATTGTAATGTACTTGTGGTGACTGAGGGAATTTTGAACTGACTTATGTCATTGTCAGTTATATTTGTCTTTATGTTGTGTTATCTGGATAGAGAGTACTGTCAGAAAATACATGTATGTTTCTTATATATATATATATGTGTGTGTGTGTGTGTGTGTATATATATACATGTCCCAGAATCTTATTTCTTGTGGGCCACCTTATATTTTGTTATATAGAATATAGGTAAACAATTTTTGAAGAATATTTTGGTGCATAGAAAAGCAGAAGGGAGAATTATCCATAGGTGTATAATTTAAACAAAGTTGTCACATGATCAACCATAACATAACATATTAACAACAGGGGACGATTTGGTCCTTCAAAACTGTCCTTGCACACCCACCCTTGAGAAATGTAAATTCTTGGTTTAAATTATAGAAGATTGGTGTGACCTGTTTTCTGTGATTTTTTTTATTGTAATTAATTTTTTTAAACCTTGAAGTCTGTCACCTTTTATTTTTTAGGAAATCGTGGGTTTCCCTTTTAAACTCTTTTGATGGCAACTCATTCCATAATCCAATCGCTCTGGTAAAAAAATAAAACTGTCTTAACTGCAACCTAGCTTCTGTTTTCCAAATCTTATTAAACTTGTGTCTTCTTGTCTTATTTTCTTCAGGCTAGAGCACAGAAAAATCCGAGTTCATTATCCTGTTGATCCCTTAAATAATCTTGTAATTACAATATACCCACTTCACCCCTAGATGGATAGATATTTTTCAATAAGCATGATAATTTATTTCATTAACATGTGGTTACTTGTATCCACAGTAGTGTAATTGCTCAAAATGTTGAAAACTTCAACTTCTCATTCTTATCAATACTTTTTTATAAATTAAGTCAGTTGTTGGCTCAAATTATAGAAGATTAGTGTGACCTGTTTCCCATGATGTTTTAATATTGTTAATTTTTTTTAAATCTTGAAGTCTGTCTGTTAATGGCAGTTCCACATTTTATCTTGTTAGAAAAATACATTTGTTCTTTTGTCAGTTTTTTGTAATACTTTAAGTTGTTTATTTTGTAAAGGAAAACTAACATTTTCATGCAGTATTGGTTTCAGTTCTCAAACTTAATATATTGTACAATTCCACAAAAGTAAATATAATTAAGGACAATAGGTATATAATGTAAGAATTAAAGACTTATTGAATTATTAATGTCTAAACTATTTTAATTTGCTAAACATTTAATTTTTACTATTTCTCCCGGAATGATTGTTAGCATTTACTGATCCTTCATTAAAAGGGATGCCACACTAATGGATATGATGGCTATATACGTTACCATAAGCAAGAATTTATCAGATACTCAATTTGAAACGAATTACCAAGCTTTATTTCAGTAGCTGATGCAGTAGTGGGATAATGCAAACACGATGATTGAAATAACTCTAAGGCACCTTAAATATCTTAAAACATTGATACATTTTACTTTTGACACTGAAGGGCTGTAGAAATTAGTACTCTGAATGTAAAGTTTTTACTTGGTGGTCACAGTTCTGCAAATGTTTCTTGAGATAAAATAATTAGTTCAGAATTGGTTTCAGTTTAGAATTTTAATAAGAAACTATATCTGTTATTTGTAAAAAACATTTTTTATGTGTAAAATTTTTATTTTGCAATTAAATCCATGTGCGTTATTTCAGAAATACAGTGATTCCTATGAAGAAACCCAACAAGCAAGGAGAAATATCAAACCCTCTCTAGCACAGCAGAAATGGAAAGTAAGATTATTATCTTATGGGTTGTTTTATAAGTGGGAGGTAAGATGGGTTGTTTCAGAAGTGGGAGGTAAGATGGGTTGTTTCAGAAGTGGGAGGTAAGATTGGGTTGTTTTAGAAGTGGGAAGTAATATTGGGTTGTTTTAGAAGTGGGAAGTAATATTGGGTTGTTTTAGAAGTGGGAAGTAATATTGGATTGTTTTAGAAGTGGAGAAGTATGATTGGGTTGTTTTACAAGAGGAGAAGTATGATTGGGTTGTTTTACAAGTGGAGAAGTATGATTGGGTTGTTTTACAAGAGGAGAAGTACGATTGGGTTGTTTTACAAGAGGAGAAGTACGATTGGGTTGTTTTACAAGAGGAGAAGTACGATTGGGTTGTTTTACAAGAGGAGAAGTACGGTTGGGTTGTTTTACAAGAGGGGAAGTAATATTGGGTTGTTTTAGAAGTGGAGAGTATGATTGTTAAATTGTACCATGTGATATATATTAAAATACATTTTTAGTTTGTAGTTAACAAATGTTATTTGTGGGTCACAAAAAAGACATGATTTTTTTTAATTAATAAGACAGAATTGTCTTCAGAAATGGTCTGTTGTTAGTTTCCAAATGAACATGTCTGTTATTATATGTTATTTCATTGTATATATCTGTTCATGTGTTTGTTTGAGTGGTTCTTTGCATGTGTGTTTATACTAGAAAAAGTAAGGATGGTACAGAATATTTACTCCATTTGTTGTCTGTTTTATGTTGTAAGTTACTTTAACTTTCATGATTAAGACTTTTCCTCATTAAGTGTAATTCAAAACTAGACCATAATTATTTAATTGTTTAACTTATTGTCATTTATTAGGATGATTAAACTTGTAGCAATTTTACTGTTAAAATTACTCTTTAATTGGCTAATAAAAACACATTTTTGCTTTATTGTGTTATTTGGCATATTTATTATTTTTTTGATAGAAAGGTAACTATGTTAATACCAAAAAACTGTTTATTTAAAAACATGCTAAAGAGTTTAAACCATTATGATTGAAGGTGCTTGAAAACGAAGCAGCGGCTTTTAAGCTGTACAAAAGAGATTTATTACTGACCCACACATAGTCTGTCATTTCAAAACCTTATTAAACTTCTATTCTTTTGTCTCGTTGTCTTCGGAATACAGAACAGAGAAATCGGAGGTCTTTATCCCATCAATTCCCTAGATAATCACGTGGCTCCAATGTACCCACTTTTTGAAGGCAAGGAGATACATTTCAATAAGCATAACTATTTCATGGTTACTTATGAAAGACACACTTATACCTGTATTAGCATAGTTGCTTAAAATGCTGGAAATTTCAACTGTTCTTTCTTATCAATGATTTTTTGTAAATTAAGTTGGTTATTGATGTCTTGTTTTCGATGAACTTTTCGTATTGTTAAAAGTGTACATGACAGATTTACTACTAACCCATACATGTGTATATATATATCCCATCAATGTAGTAAATTCACATCAGCAAGTAATCAAATTTACAAGTTTTAACAGTGTAGATTTAATATATTTAGTAGGAGTATAGGTGGTTGAGGTGTTTTACTCTGACTTGTTGTTTCAGAGGTCCTTCCATCTGGTCACCTTATGTAATAATTTGTCTCACTGTGCCAAGTTAAAGTACCAAAACAGTAGGAATATGCTAGATGATGAGTCTTCCTGTAGTCAGGACTTGGCAGAGTATGGTCAACAGGAGAACTATATGCTGGTAAGTAATTGTTTCAGACTAATAAATATTGCCATTGTTGATGGGGAGGAGGTAAATCCTTTATATATTGCATTGCAAATCATAAACTGATCCTTGTCATTCTCTTTATTCTTACACACACACAGATATATATTTGATAAAGTGAATCAAACAACATATTAACATTTAAATAATGTTTTAGTCATAGTCAGAGATTTGCTTGTATATTTTTTATTTTATACAAGAACAAATAAAGTAAAATTTGCAAACATAACATTTAATAAATTCATTTTGGGCTAAATTATGCATAAAGTAATGTAATTTGATACCCTTACTTTACAGCAAAACGAAAACTTTGTGGTAGCGGCACTGTTCTCGGCCATTGAAGTAGGGAATCTAGCTGGTTTAGAAGAGCTTTTTGCAGAGTCTAATATTGACCCTAACCAAGGAAACAGAGTGAGTATAGTATACTGTAGTTTACGTTGCAAAATGTTGAAAAAAAGGATAAGAGCATATTTGTTTTCACTTTTACAACTTAATTTAGGAAACCCTGTTAATTAATTTAACTAGTGTTCTGTAATAGAAGTTATTTGACTAAATGTTATTTTATAGTATCCTGCATCAATGTAAATAGTTGATAGTGTATTTTCATAAGTTACATAAAAATTTATTTGCTTTACAATCATTATTTTATTTTGTTAGTTTCAAAATACACATTTTACTGGCTTTTCAGTATGTCTTTTTTATATCATATTTGTATTGCATTTATTTTTTATCTTGTTTGATTGTAAAACATTTTATAAAAAAGAATAAGCTCCCAGTGGCTTAGTGGTAAGTCGAAAGGCTTACTACCTTTAGATGCTTATGTATGTGTGTGCGTTAACATTTTTTAGTGTTTTTTTTTACATCTATGAAACCCAAAAATGAATAATTTCTCTAAATGAGACAGATGAAATATTAAAATCAAATTGCAATTTAATTTTGGTGCAACTTGTAGTAATTTGTATATTTATATTTTATCTTTAGCATGCTGAGACACCAATACATTTAGCAGCTGGCCTTGGAAAACTAAAAATAGTCAAATTTTTACATCATTGTGGTGCCAATATCAACTTATTAGATGTGGTGAGCTACAGATCTTTTTCTCTTATTAATAAATTTTATCAATTTTATTTAGGAAATTTCTATATCAAAGAAAATTACATTTTGAGTTGCAGTTTTGCTTACATATATGTGTTGCATTATGTGATTTGCAACTTCTTTTCAAAAAGGTGGGCATTAATGACTTTAATCTTTCTTATGTGTAGAATGGAGATAGTGCCATTCACTGGGCAGTAAGGCAGGACCATGCTGAAGTCATTAGTTATCTCTCCAAAAAAGGACTTGATGTAGATGTACAAAACAAGGTTTGAAAGTACAGCCTTATTTCTAAACAAATTTTTAAACTTTTGCAATAAGAAAAATGCCTTTTTTTTGTTCTTTTGCATATAGAAAATACAGGAAAGATATTTCATTGATGCTGAAAGTTAGATAACCTATAAAGTAATAGAAGATGACATGGAAGTATATGTAATGTTTCAGTAGAATACACATAAATAAGATTAATAGTTATTGTCTCCGCAGTGGCCTTTTCCTTTACGGATGCATGTTGAGTATGAGTGCAGAAAATTGTCGGTAGATAAAGATCAGGACTGTTGCAGATTACTGAGAACAAGATTATAAGTGTTTCAAGCTTAGATAATAAAAGTATTAGGTATTGGTTTTATTGTAGAATGAATATCTAATGTTATGGCCTAGACCTTGAAATGTTCAAAAAAAAAAGATAATAACTGAATGCTACCAAATCTTTTTACATATATATTGAGATGGCTTTTTTTTCTTCTCAAGAAGAAGCTTACATTTCCATCTTTTTTTGTTTTACTCTTTTATCAAATTTGTCTATGTCTCAATCACAAAACAATGAAAGATCAGGATAGTTGATGTAGTCAAATAAACAATCAATCACAAAGCAATGGAAAATCATGGTATATGATGCAACTGCAAACAACCAATAGCTACTTCAATTACATAGTTTCTATCCTTTTACCATCTTAGATCTCCTGGTAACCAATTAAGTATTAGCCAAGATTACTTTACAGTTAATTCTTTTAACAACTACCTTTAAAGCTAAAACTGATAATGTTGTTCGAAGAGCCTTAACAGACCACATTATCTTTACATAAATACCGAGATACAAGAACTTAGTCAAAGACACATTTAAGATAAGTTTAAAATAACAAATCCTTTTTGCTTACACAATAAACATAATTTTTATTTAAGATTTATCTACAGTCTCGATATGTTCAACATGTTTTAATGTTTTTTAGTGCACCATCTTCAGGAGATCTTTATTCATGATGTTACATGAGTGTCCGAGAATAATTCTATCAAAAACTTGTGATTTTTCCCTTTAAGTACATATACCATAATTCAACAGAATATCTTTCATATTTTAACCTTTATAACTTCAAATTTTTCAGTCAGTTTACATTTTGTCAACACACTTTAGCACAAATAAAGAATATATGGCCTTCAACAACAATAATTCCATCAACACACTTGAGCACAAATAAAGAATGTCTGGCCTTCAACAACAATAATTCGATTAAACCTATGTAATTTCAAGCATGAATCCATTTTGTTAATATAACTAAAGGAGATAGTTCCTCCACTTATTACACTACTAAAGATTAATTTTTTTTTGGCCTCAGCTTCTTTTTTTCTCAGTGTTTTGTGAAATCATTATTTAACTTTTTTTATGGCAGACTATGTATGTTGTACTGCATGGATAATTGCTATTAGCAGAATAAGAATGTAATTTTTAATTTTTGTCAAGGAAGAAGAAACAGCTCTTCACTGTGCTGCAGCCAGAGGTCATGTAGAAAGTGTACGTTGTCTGTTGGATGCCAAGGCTGATGTTAACTTGTTAGATAAGGTATTTTATGAATCTTCCATTATTTTTTTAGCTGCAGCATAGCAGTAGCTCATAGAATGACTGTTTTTTTTGTTTTTTTATAAAGTACAAACTTTTAGCTCATAGCTCTGTCATCTTTTGACCAATTTGAGGTCTAATTACAGTTTTGGACTCGGGAGGGTAAACCCTTTTGAGTGATGTAATTGATCATGTCCAAGGTCTCGTAGATTAATTAACTCTAATCGTGCCTAAAAGAATTTCAATTTGAGGGTAGGCTGGTAGAGATGAGTAATAGAATTGAATTGGGTATATGCACACCCCATGCTTGGTATTGTTGGCACATAAAAATATAGCTAATGAAAAGGAAAAAAAAGGTTTCATAGATTAATTTACTCTAATCCTGCCTAAAAGAATTTCAAGTGCGATAGCTATTGAGATCCAAAAACGTGACCTAGGAATTGTTTTTTTTATAAACACTTTACTGTTAGTAACTGAAACGTTTATCATTTTTTAATTTATCAGAGAACATACAAATGTATCATTTTAATATTGTCATTTGCATTCTCAGTATCAAAGAGCTCTTAATATTTGTTCGAAAAAGTTTTGTATAAATGAATATTTCTACCAGCCAGCACATTTATATATAAAAATTTGACTATTAAATATCTAAATGGTTAAATATATAATTTTTCTTTATATATATATTAGTGCTGTTAGTATATTATGTACCATTATTATTATTATTAATAATTATTAATATCGTAACTATGGTTCGTTTCTGTGCTCGGCCCACTCTAAGTACCCAAACATGATTTTTAGTATTATAAGCCCTCAGACTCTTTTGCTGAGTTATTGGGTGTTATTGTAATCTATTTTTGTTTTTTGAATAACATTTATGTTATTCATATCCTGTCTTATGGGTGATAATGAATATATTGGTTTCATCAATGATTAAAGCTGACATGTTTTTTCTCATTAAATAAATTTTCAAGTTTTTTCTTTATCCTGTTCATGTAAAACTACCTATCGATATAGAATATGTTGAAAAAAAAGATGTAAAATTATGTCGGTCAACTTATTTTAATGTTATAAAATAGATATAGAATTCTTTTTTTTTTCACAGAACTATTTAATGTCTGTTGTTTAAAGACTTGGCACTGAGCCAAAATTTAAAAACGATTTTAGATTTTTATGCCTAAGTGTATTTCAAAAGAAAAATGTAAATATTAGGCTTTTTGTTTTTTTTAGTATTAGAAGAATTAATCATTTTAATGGTCAGACTTTTTTGTAAGATATTGGTTAACAAATTTGCGTACAAAAATAAATAAATTGTGTGTAGAATGGCTGCACATCTCTCCATTTGGCTGTTAGAAGACATCATGTGGAGGTATCAATGCTGTTGCTTCAAGCAGGATGTCAAATTGATATCTTAGATCATGTAAGGGATCATTGTTTAATATTTTTTTTTTTACGATAAAAGATAGAAGTCCAGAAAGTAAATTTCAACTATTAGAGTAAATAATGTATTGATAAATTTGTAAACTAAAATCTTGAAATCAAGAATATAGTTAAATGAACACAATAATTGTTTTAAAAATGTATATATTATAACATTTGTTGAAATTAAAGTTGTGAAATTGAATAAACTCCTCCGTACTAGATTTATTGAGCATAATGGTATGTGTTAATTTGTTTATCTGTTGCTGTTGTACTATTACTCGTTGATTAATAACTTGGTTTATAAATAATGCAAGACTATGTTCATTTAAGTTAACAGATCTTTAAACTATAACTGATAAAGGCTAACTCAAGACTTCCAGCCATATTCGCTAAGCCTTTTGTCTGAGTTTAAATACATTTTCCACACTAATCTCAACATTTACTCTTTTTTTTTAAGATTTTTAGGACTAAAAGTAAAATATTTAATGTTTTTTTCTAAGTTATCTATTATTTAAGAGTTTTGATTCTCATTATCTTTAAAAAATTCAAAATTATTTCAAATGGGAACATTTTCTATAATAACACTAAAAACAGACTACAGAAAAATTATCCACATTAATCATCAGTTATTTAAAGGAAATATTAATTTTTATTTACTGAATGTTATCTGTTTCTTACTTGATATTCTCTACAGAAAAGTACTTAAACTGTTACTTTGTAACTATAATTGAAATGTTATTCTTCTGGTATCATCTATAATTGAGAAGACCATAAAGATCAAATCTAATTTCATTGTGAAAATAAAAAATAATTTTTTCATATATTTTTACATGCATTTCTTGGTTATATTATCAGTTATTTCAAACTTCTGTTTGTGATAATGGCGTGTTACTTAGTAAGATGAGTATGTTTTTCAGTATGGTGAGGCACCCATCCATGTGGTAGCAAGGGAAGGACTCCTTCCATTAGCTCAAACTCTGTGTGCATTTGGTTGTCAAACGTGCACACCCAATAAGGTAAGATATGCCACTAATTACATGTCATTCTATGCTCTTAAAATGATAATTGAATTATTATACACAGACAAAATGTTGATGAAAGACGTGCAAATGGGTTCCTGCCTCCCTATTTGTTGGAAGGGTACATCATCTAGTAGATGAAGAAATGACAAATGTCTGTACATCTCACAGCTATTACTTACTTGTATTTTGTTCTGTAATGAAGATGCATTTACATATTGGGAATATCTTTCATAGTTTTTGCTTTATTGGAACTAGAATTTGACCACTTTGAGGAGTTGTCATCAGTATTAATTTTGTTTATTTATATCCCACATCAACAATATTAACCCAAGTGCTAAGCCACATTCATTATTGCTAAAATGCCAAAACTTTAGCAAAAGCTCAAAACGATTATATGATGTAACAGTATTGACAAATGCAATAGCCAGCACTGATCAATTGACTGGTAATCCTCAGTTTTTTCACGATGTCCATGATGAAGATGAAAAGAATGTCAAGACATTTTCTTATTTAAATTACATCAGTTGTGGATGAGTTGCACACTCTGCTTTTAGATGTTAGGTGATTCAATTTCAAGAACTGTTCAGCAAACCTATTCGTTTCAGCAACATAATCCATCACAAACAGTTTGAAAATGTCAACTGGAAGGACTTCTGGCAGCAAACCTGTAACCACCTAAACCTATGCAGTAAAAGAAATGTTAGTTGGACTAACATATGTAGCCTGGACTGTCAGCCATCCATCATGTGACTAGAATGCTTTTTTCTGTTTAAAATACTGCCCATTATTAATAACATTGACTATACCACACACACACACGCACACGTATATGTGTGTGTGTGTGTGTGTGTGTGTGTGTATATATGTATAGTAATTAAAGGTTATTTTGAAATGTTGATTATTCTGTATGGACAATTACATCATGAACTATCCCTGGAAACAGTTGTTGAGTAATGTTAACACCCATGACATGTTATGAAGTTTGATAATAAATATTAGATTATTGAGTTATTTAAGTATACATCAGCTTATCAGTTTGCTATAATTTTCAAAGTCTCATCCCCCTTTTTTATTACACTTTTTCTCTCTCCAGTTAGGGTGATATTTATTGTTAAACTTTTTCTCTTTCCAATTAGGGTGATATTCATTGTTAAACTTTTTCTCTCTCTCTCTCCAGTTAGGATAATATTCATTGTTAAACTTTTTCTCTCTCTCTCCAGTTAGGATAATATTCATTATTACACTTTTTTCTCTCTCTCTCTCCAGTTAGGATGATGTCTAATATTTGTGATCTTCTGTTATATTAAACTTTTTTTTCTTGCTATTTAGGCTGGACAATATCCGTTACACATAGCTGCCAGAAATGGACATACTGATGTTGTCAGATGTCTGTGTCTATCTGGCTGTAATGTAGATCAGAAAAATCAGGTAAAAAGAAGCAGTGAATGTCATTCTGTATCCATTTTTTGTAAAAAAATATATATTATAGTTGGTAAAATATTTTTCTAAAGTGTGAAATAAGTATGTTTCCTCATATATGTGTGACAAAGTTCAGAAAACCTTGATTATATGTAGTAAAAATTACATGCTTAAATTTAAGATGGAATATTTTCATTAAATTTGGCTGGTATCAAAACATTTGTGTTTGTCTATCATTTAGTAAAGTATAATTAATAGCATAGCATCTTAATTTGGCTCGACATGGCCAGGTGGTTAGGGCGCTCAACTCGTAATC